CATCATAAAAATCTTCAGTGTTTAATAACCTTTCATTTTCATTAAAATATTTTTCAAATATTGAATTCATTTTATTTATTATTATTTTTTTTTGAAAAATAAAATGAAATCAAAATTAAATCATGAAAAAGGGATCTCTAAATAATACCCCAAAATCTGGTATTACAAAACTTGCTCGGGACAATAGATAGGAACTAATACTTTGTACTATAATAACTTCTAATAGTAAAAAGAAAAGAAAACCCTTCTACTAGTTATTGATGAACTTTCAATAAATCTCCTCAAGTAAATTATACAGAAAAGAAGGCTGGGAGCCCTATTTCGGGATGTTATAAAAGAAATATATCAAGACTTGGGCGCCTTCATTGACGGAGCCCGTAAATTCTTCCAGATAAAGTTTGCATACAAATCTACCGGTTATTTATAAGCCTTTAATATTAATAGAGATCAGTGTCATATAAAGACCAGATCACAGAACATACTAATACCAATACTGTAAGATTATAACTGGATCGATGATACTAGATTATTTTAAGAAAGGTCCATAAAGTGATTAAGAGATGATATAAAGGCTAACCCTTTCTCTAATCAATATGTGTGACGTGCAAACTTTGAGAGCCCTCCTCCTTCTATTCTTAAACACGTATTTCATGCCCCCTTTCTTATATTTTCTATCATTTATTAAACAAGAGATCCTCTCATAAAAGCTGGTGGTTCGGGGTGCAGTAACCCAATCCCATGATATCGATCACGAAATTTTTCCATTGATAAATGGACAAGTTCTTTGATGAGTGATAATAATTATATTAATTAATAAAAAAAGAAGTCAAAATAAAATTCGTTGAAACAAGGGTTTGACTGTATTGTTATCGGTGCTGCCTAAAAGGTCATTATTTGTATACAATTATGACATTGAAATCGGAGTTTAATTTATATACTAAAATCACATATTCATTAAAAATAACAATCAGCCTTGCCTGTTTAAAGAGAAGATATAATTTACTTGCATCATTGTTGAGAGGTTCTTTTACTTGTAGCACAAGATGAAGATGATTTTCTAAAAATAAATACAAAGAAGTCAATTCTCAATTAATCAAGCCGTTCAATCGATCCTTGTTTTGGTTTCTTGAATAAATAATGAAAAACGTGCATAAAATTGTTAAAATAAAGAATATGGATTAATTAGAGTAATATAGATCGAATAGCAAAAGAACTCAACCAAAAAGCAACAACAGTTATAATAATTAATCAAATGAATTGTAATGTTGTTTAGAATGATGTTTTCCTCTTGCACTAGTTCCCTAATACCAACCGTTTTATTCCTTTGATTGCTCTATTTTTTTCTTTTTACAACTCCGATCGTATCATAAATGATAAGCCGTGAAAAATAAAACAATGAATATGATAACTGACAATAAGAAAAACAATAAAAAGTTAAAGTTTCCTTCATCAGACCCTAAAAAGTCACTTTTTATTTCTTGTTCTGCAAGATAAAACACATCTCAGAATATATACAGTATCTATCTATGCCTGCATTCTTTTTGACATTTTATAAGAAAATAAAAAACTTTGTTTTTTATTTGTTATGAGATTCCATCAGGAAATTTTTCCCGTGTTTATAATTTATGGCATAAAAATGGTATTAGTATGTTATTATTACGGATTGAACCATCTTGTAACAACCTGTTACCTTCTATTTGAAGAACGAGAATCTATATAATTTAATCTAAAGAAATTAAAGAAATTAAACAAAATTTAGTCATACTATCTTTAGATCAGAAACATTCATCTGCACTTGTGCAAGGATTTGAAAATTGTGTCCGCTTCTCAACTAACAGGAAATCAGTGACGACTTGATACTGGTAAGTAGCTTTCAAAGAAATTACAGGAAGATTTTGTGTTAAATATCGTACATACAAGACATCCATAATACAATTCTATGTAAAAAAATCAGACATTTAAAAGACATCACTTATTCAGAAAACTCGGATTGGGGAAAATCATCATCCGACCATCAATAAACGCAAAACATGGACACCTTCGGCCTCATGAAAAGTGTAGCCAATCTGTGTCCAACTGTATCGATCATGACATGGAGAATTCGCCGAAAGAACTTTGGCACAATGGAACTTGGAAGGAGAAGAGAAGAAGAGCTTCAGAGAAGATCTTGAGGTTGTAAAGTACTCAAGTCACATTGTCGAAGACGACGACCGCCACATTACGATTTCGATTTGATGCTTAGGACAATCCTACGTTTGGACTTAAGTTTGTGGAATTGTTAAAGAGCGATCAATGAATTGATCAAACTACACAACTTAATGCAAGAAACTATGATGATTTATTTTTTAAAAAAAATAGACAAGGATGGTTTTCAACTATATACAGAGCTATTTGGATAATAAACTAATGAAATGTATGCTAGAACTATTGCTTTAAAATGCTAAACAATTCACCAGATAAACCACCCAATTAAAGAATATATTTTAGGGCAAATAAATTAATATTAAAATAAAATCAGAATTTTGCCATTTCTTTTTTTTTAAATATATTTATATTTTAATAATGATTCTCGATATTGTTTTAATAGAAACTAAAAATAATGTTCAAGTTTTTTTTTTTGCAAATGATTTTTTAAAATTATACTTAATAAATATAAATATTCTTATATGTATCTATTAAAAAAAAAAAAAAAAATTATATATAAGACTAAATAAATAATAATCATATGAATTATTATATATTATATTGTTATTTTTATTATTGTTGATGTTGTTGTTATTGTTGTTGTTGTTGTTGTCGTTGTTGGCGAGCTTTATTTTTGTAGTGCTAACGGTGTTTAATATTTTTTTTTTTTTTTAGTGTTTTGGTGTAAAGTTGATGGTGAAGAAAAAAAAAATGACAAAAGATTTTTCGATAATGCCACTGATATTTTCCTTCAAAACATCACACATCATTCATTTATGCACACCACATGAACTCACATATTCATTCGTTCATTAAATTAAGTATTTGTTTTTATCGCATTAATAACTATTTTTAATTTTTTGACTTATCAGTTGTTGATGATGATGGAATTGGGGATGTTGGAGTTGATTTTGATGAAGATGCTAATGGGGATGAAGAAGATATGAAAATAGGTGAAACAAGAAAGCCACTAGCACTATTAGTTTTGATATCACTGGTAGATACAGAACGATTACGAACTGATATTGTGTTATAAGTAGGATTAGGATTGTTGCTATTACTGCCACTACTATTACTAGTACCAGAAATTGAAACACTTGAAGTCCGTCGTGTCTAACAAGAATAAAGTATATGCGTTCAGATTATTTATTTAATGGTTTTTATTAAATTTTACAAGAAATAATTAAAAACTTACAGCCTTTTGATGATTGTTATTAGGTCTAAAGATAGTAGAGCTAATCAAAAATAATCAATAAAATTATAAAAGCTGCATATTTGTGTATTGCAAAAAAAAAACTTTAATATTAAACATATCCTTACGTTTCCTCTGATAATAAATCGTCTACTTGCAATCCTGATTTTTTCCTTAGTTCAATCAATTCATTTTTGAAACGAGTTGCCTGACTTGATTTAGAAATATCTGTAAAATATAATAAATCGTGAGTGATATAGATTATTTTATTAGTATTATATTATCATGTCTTACATTCTTTTTCCATATCAGCTATTTTAGATCTCAAGCTGTTAATTTCAAGTTTTAAAACATCGGTTAATCCGAGAGTATTATTATTGTATTCTGGAGAAGAAGAAATCCATTTTTTGTGACTTTTTTAAAAAAAAAATATAATTAGTGATAGATTTGATATTATTTAAAAAAATTAGTTAAATTTAACATTTACATAGAAGATGTTAAAGGAGAAGATTGCGGTAATTGATGAATAGTGTTAGTGATTGCAGAAGTGTTGCTTGTACTAGAACTGTTACTAGAAATTGAAGAATTACTATTTTCACGGGAATAATGAGGGCTGTGATTATGACTGTGATTATGACTGTGATTGTGATTATGAATATGAAGTGGTGATTGTTGCTGTTGCTGTTGCTGTTGTTGACGAAGTGAATCAAGTTGTTTTTGAAGTCGATTAACAATATACTCTTGTTCTTGTTCAAAAGCGTTTTCCATATCAATTTTTTCTTTTTGCAACTACACACATGCAAAAATTTGTTAATTTAACAAAGATTTGCCAATTTCATGCCAAATATAGTTGAATTAAATAATAAAATAATGACCTGATTTAATTTTTTCTGTAAAGTATTGGTTAAATATTCTTCTTCTTGTTCAACTTGTAAAAGTAATTCGCCTTTCTCTTTCTTGAGATTAGATATACGTTTCAATAATTTATTTGATATAAACTCTTCTTCTTGCTCGGCTGATGCATGCTAAAAATCAAAATACATACACGTGTGAATATTACATTAATGCATTCTATTTTTTTCATATTAATTAATTAGTCAATTACCATGTTGACAGTCTTTTGTCTAAGCATTTGATTGTCATGTCTTAAAATATTAATGTGACCTTGTACCATTTCCAATTCGAATTTTAATTTTTTAATTTCTAGTTCTTGTTGACGAACAATTTCAAACGCTTTCTCCAATTCTTTCTTTAACAATATTGGATCTTCAGAATTTAATATTGATTTTTGTAAATCAATAGCAGCATCAGTGGTAAGAGTTGCAGCAGAAATAGTGTTGCTAGTGTTATTAGTGTTAAATGATGGTGATGATGGTGATGATAAATTGGAATCAAGGATACTGCTACACATAAATTTCATTTTATCATCAATCAATCAATGATGAAAATAAAGAAATCATCAAATTGATATTATCAAGATTAAATATTAATTACTGTTGATATTACTTTTGATTTATTTGTAGTTTTGCAAGCGTATTTTGAAATGACTTGGCACGAGCCTCCATCGATGCTTCCAAGCTTGCCTTTTCTTGTCTTGCCTAATAACAATGATAATTAATAATTAAAGGATTATAATTAATCGATCTATAAGTTGATTGGTTATTTTAGAAATTAATAGTTAAAAGAAGAAATTAAATTACATGATTTAATTGTTCCTGAAGGAATTTGTTAATTTTTTCTTCACTTTGTTCTACTTTTTGAAGTTCTTTGGTTCGGTCCTTTGTTATTCAATGCTTCATCTGTTAACAAAATATTTACTTTATATTTTATTATAAAATATATTATAATAACTTACAAAGGGACCATTATCGTTATCGTTATCATTATTGGCATTTTTTGGCTCTTTTTCTAATTGTTGCTCTAATTCACTTGTTTTTGTGTCAGACTCTTTCATTCTTTACTTTTTATGTTCTAATAATAATAATATGTTAAAAAATAAAAATAAAAGTAAAAGCTAAAGGGAGTTTCTGAACTTTAATTTTATTTTTCTCTATTAAATTTGTGTGAGAGTATTTATGTATGATCTAATATGACGATTTCTATGAAACATCAAGATTTTAATTTTGTTCATTTATGTGCACTTCAATTTCACCATTTTGGGAATCTTATCAAAAATTTCTTTATTATTATTTTATTTAATACAGCGGCATTTATTATTATGAAACTTTTTTGGTAAATTAGTCAATTATTTATTAATAATAAAAATAAATAAATAAAATAGTACATAAATAATTAAAATATTTTAAAGTCTCTCTTTTTTTTCTTAAAATATCATTATTATATACTATTATTTATCTTTTACTATTTTTATTAACATTATATAAAGTTCTCATTCTTTAAATAGCAAATTAATGCATTATTAATCATTTGTTCTTTTACTATTTTTATGAACATTATAATTTCCAAATCTTTAAAAGCAGATAAATGCATATTAATTATTATTAAAGTTTTTTAAGGAAAAATTAAAATTTTAGTCTCTTCTTCGTCTTCATCTATTTACTTATCTAAAATAAAGAAATAAATATTTATATATAGATTATATAATGATTATTTTTTATTTTAATAATAATAATAAGGTAAAATTTTCATCAATAATTATATTATTATTTATAATATTATTATCAAATGTAACAGAGACGCTTGCAGGAATAGGAACGGTATCAGGACCGGCTGTTCAGATTGATGTTGTAGAAATAACTCAACAAGGTAACAAAAACAATCAAATAATAAAAGTTGCGCAGGATATTGATGATATTAACTTCGACAAAGTTGATTTATTGGATAATAGCGTTTCGCCTAATAAAGATGGTAATCAGGTAATTAAATAATTTTGCTTGATAATATCAACTTGTAATAATTAATAATTAACATCAATCTTACATTAATTATGATTTACGAAGGGATTCTTAATAGAATTTATATATAATTGCACTATTAATAGCGATCTAACATTTAGTCCAAAGAATGCATATAAAGAAAGGGCAATGAAAATAGCATTGATATCAAATTCAGCATGCACATTACCAACACTTTTAGTAGCTAAACAAGATAAAGAAAGGAGAATAAATGGTGCAATAATAATGGCTGACGCTCTTTATAGTGATGAACCGAAAATACCACCTGACACGTTTGATTTTCCAATAGTTTATCTATCTGATCCTGATGACGTGTCGAAAATAAAAAATTATTTGGAAAGCCAGGATAGAGACGTTAATAAAACTACCATTAACAATGATAACATTCATAGTGAACAAAATCAAACAATATCTTATCGCGTTAGAGCTATTTTAGTTCCCAAAACTAGTTTGTTTCCTGGAATATGGGAATTCACTTTAATTGTAAGTTTGTTTCATTTTAAAGTGTTTAAAGAAAACAATCGTAACTTATGCGTGTTAATTAACTATTTGGTTTTTTTTATTAATTTAATAATAAAGGTTGTTGTCGTATTATTAGCGATTTCTTTTCTCACATCAGGTTAATATTAAATTATTTATTAATAATATATAAAAATATTTACTTTTCAATTAAAACTAATGTTCATTTTTTTTTTTAAAGTTGCAATGCATTGTCATCTTTTTAGGCTTAGGAGGAGACAAAGACGTCGAGAGGCGAATTCGGTACCATTTTCGCATGAAATGAAAATGACGACTTTAAATTCTGATATATTAAACACGTTTCCTATTAGACTTTACAAAAACTCGTCTAAATTAACTACAAACGACGATAAATCTGCTGGAATTATTCAACAGACTACATTAGGTGATGATGGTAGTGATAATGTTAACGGTATTGAAAATAAACGTAAGTCTAATGATGAAAAAATTGAAAATCCTTCTGATGAAATGCTCGATATTGCAATAAATAAAGAACAACAACTTGAATCAATGGATGCAAAAGAAATCAAAGAACCAATTGAATCAACGGAATCATTAAATCCAACATCAATAAAAGATTCAACAACAATGATAACAAAAGAACCAATAAAGAACGAATCCAACAACAACGATAATATCGCCATCACCACTGGTAATAGCACAATTACTGACAACAATTATTTAGAAAAGCATATAGAAAAGTGTAAAGAAAAGTGTAGAGATATTGTTAGACAAGATTCGATTCGATCAATCATATCAATTGGATCAATTAGATCAACGAGATCAACGAAATCAATGAAATCAACGAAATCAACGAAATCACTTCGTTCAATAAAAGCAATATCTTTGGCTACAGAGTTGGCAGAAGGGTCAGGAATACATGGACTTGCAGTGATAGACGAGACACAAGTATCATCATATTCGCCAACACTTTGCGCTATATGTTTGGAGGATTTTGATGATGGTGACGAACTTCGATTTTTACCGTGTAAACATGAATATCATGCTGAATGTATTGGTAACGTATTTTTATTTTATTTGGGAGGACCTGAAAACGGCACAAAAGATTTTGTTTTAAAAAAATCAAAATTCTTTAATTGTAGTATATATTTATAACAATAATATTTATTTTCTAACGTGTTATTCTTTTAGATCCATGGCTTATAGAAAAATCATCATTATGTCCGTTATGTAAATTTGATTGTGCACCAGATTATACCAAGCATAGTAATCAATATCAACAACAAAATCATGAATCAGATGCTGATTCGTCAATGTTGGATGATAATTTCCTGGTAGCGGCAATGTTAGCATGGGGTCCAGTAGCATTAATTAGAGGAATATGGTCACGGTGGAGGAGGAATAGAAGAAGGCGTCGAGTTGTGGATAATTTTGATGATCTTACAAATAGAAGTAGTGATAGTGGTGTTGATAGTAGTGCCAGTAATAATAATAATAATAATGCATCGTCGCTATCGTCGTCGTCACTAACAGGTGATGATTCAAGAGTTGAAATTATTAATGTTCCACCTCCAACGCCAATTTCATTACACTAACAGCTCCACTGGATAATTATAATGATAATAATAATAGTAATAATAGTAATAATAATAATAATAATAATATTGAAGCATCAAACGGATAAATGTTTAAAATATGTAAAAAAACCTTATTATTTAGATTATTATTTTTTTTTTATAGAAAATAATTGATTTATTTTTTATATTGCTTTCTTTTTGTAATTAATTATAGTAAATAAGTTTTTGATTTGTATTTATTTTTTTTAAAAAAAAAACAAAAAATTTATTAATAAGCATTAATAAAGGATTATTTAAATTTTACTAAAAACAAAAAAAAAAAAGTTTTACAGATTTACAGATTTAAAGTGTTATTATTATTATAATATATATATCCAACAATAAACATCGTCATATAATCTTTAAAAATGGAAAATATGGTTGCCAAACTTATTGAAAAAGCAACTCTGGTTGATGAAAACTTTTTAAATTCATTGATTAGGCAACAGAAAAATGTCGTTGAAGACACTGTCATTTACAAAAAACTTGATCAAGATTTATTGTCACTACTACCTTCTTTAGAAAAAGAACAAACCGTTCTATTTCCAAAGCATTTGGAAAGACTAGTTCAACAATATAGTATGAAAAGTGATGTTCAATGTTTGTTTGGATGCTTTGAAAATGTAGATCTAGCTTACTTTGTGATCAATTATAGTTTATTTATTTGGGAATACGGCAAAGATAATCAAGAGTTGGCTATTGGACACCTAGAAGTCAATTTAGATGAAGATAAAATCATAAAAAGTGTTGGAATTTTTAAACCTAAACCTAATAGTTGGGTTGGCGATGCACAATATGTTTTAGTTGTAGTTACGGACAAATCAATATATGTGTTTGGTTTGAGTATAAAAAATAACGATAGTATGCTTTTTCACATTTTGTCGTCAGTAAAACATAGAGCCAGCTATAGTGGCAAGGATATTGGATCAATTGTGGGTATGGAAGATGGTAGAATTTTTTTAATAGACAATGGTGAATTGTGTGAATTGGTATATGAAGAATCCAGTTGGCTTTGTAAACCTTGCAGACTAAATGTTCATTCATCTTTCTCGCCACATTCATCATCATCATCATCATCATTATCATCATCATATTCTTTAGTACCGTCAAGGTTTTTTAATTCACTGATACGACCTCTGGTTACAACAGATCATTCAGACTTTAAGTTGTGTGTCGTTGACGAGACACGTAATATGATTTATGCAATGTCAGAAGATTATATTCAGGCATATTATGTGACTAAAGATAAGAAAAACAATTTAGTCTCTGTAGGAAGGTTTTATTTAAATGACAATCAGGAATTAGATGGAACTTTCATTTCAATATGCCCAATATTAAATACTGATTCGCCATATTTTTGGTTATTAGCCATCACAAATAGAGGGTATCGTGGTTATTTTACATGTTATACTGATGGTGATTCATGGCCACCTTCTAATGTATCTGTCGAAGAATTAAGGAGAAAAAAACCTAATGGTTTATATTTGGTTGAATCACACAAACCACCAGAAGAAATTTTGCAAAAGTTTCAACAAAAACTAATTTCAACGTCTATTAAATGCAAATATTTTCATGAAACTCTTTTCATAATAGAGTCGGATGATATTCATCAACATTATCAATTATCGTGTATATATCCTAATCATGGATTAATTCTAAAGTATTTAGATACATCACGCAATCAATCATATTTTTCAGAATATTTCTTTACCATGTCTTCTAAAAAAATTTATGACATAAAAGAAATTTATGATCCGTTATATAATCCAAAGAATTTTAACGAGTATCCGTGTGATTTGATTAGTCAATACTTTATTCCTTCACGAAAATTTCTTTTTTATACATCAGAGGGGATAGAAATTTGGACCAAGAAGATGCCTGTTGAACAATTAAAAGACCTATTCGCAAAGAATGCTGGTACGCAACTATTAAATGATTTTCGTGAAAACTATCAACATATAGAGATATGCTCAATGTGTTTCTTATTAACAAATGATGAGGATTCTAACAGATTATTAAATTTCTACAAACCACGAAATTATCATTTATATTTTGGTTTCGTCTTATTTTTATCAAGAACGCTTAGACCTATTTGGAAAAAAAAAGTTCTTAGAAAAGTTTTCAATGGAAATATTTTGGAAAGCGTAGATGCAAACATTCCAAAAGAAATTCTTGTTAGCATAGAAAATAAATTGAAAAGGGTGAAACGATTTTGTGATAATTATTCATATTTAGCTCAAAAAAAATCTCCGCCATTATCAAGCTTATTATCGACTCCGAATCTATTATCATCATCACCATCATTAGTGCCTTTATTGCAAATATTAGACAGAGATGAAAATCCTTCAACTACACAACAGCAGAAACAAGATTATTCTTTTCCTGAATCAAAAGATCTCGACGATTTTCTTTGTATAATTTCCAACGCTATTTCATTTATAATATTGATGATTGATTATGGTTTGCCAAAAACTTTTGAAAAAATTCCAGAAAGTTCACAAAAGGTCATCATTGATTCAACATATGACCAATTAATCCTTGATGAGGAAGTGAGGAAGTGTTGGCACGATCTGCCTCTAGCCATAATCAAACGTTCAACTAACATGCAATCTAAAGAATTATACAATAATCTAAAAAATAGATGTGGAATGTATTGTGATGAATTCGAATGTTCTTTGTATGAAGGTTATGATATGTTACAAAGATTCAAGAAATCCAAAAATATCATCAGCAGCAGCAGTGGTGGTGATGATCTTTTGCAGAATTCATTGAAAAAATTGTCAAATTGTTGGGAAATTATAACATTTGGTACGTTGGTTGATATATGTCAAGAATACAGAGATTTAGATTTTTATGAAGGAGCTATGGATTTATTGATTACAGAGTTAACCTCAACAACTAAAGGACAATTAAAAAGTCAACGAAATCTACTAATTAGATTGATAATTGATACATTAAAAGATGCTGGTGTATTTGAAGATGAAAATAATTCTGAACTACACACACGACTACAATCGTCATCATCGCAGCAGCAGCAGCAGCAATGGAAAAAATATCAATCAAAACTTTATGAATTTAAAATGATTTTAAACTATGTCACAGAAAATGATGACAAAGAATTAATATTTGTAATTTATGATGAGTTTTTAAAATCAAATACTATTCAAAAACTTTTTGATCAACCAACACCATCCCTCCAAGAATATTTAAAATCATCAATGAATGAGAGCCTAACTTCGATTCATGTATTAAAAAAAACAAAAGCATTAAGCAAATTTTGTATTATTCATCATCAATATATCGAGGCAGCTGAGGTTCTGATTCGATTAGCCGAAACAACAACATATGAAAAATTGAAATTACATGAGCGAACATCATATTTAATTAAAGCGAGACAACAAATTATAAACGCGATTGAACTGTATGGTAGTAGGGGCGATGAGAATAGTATCAAGTTAAACGATTTATTAGAAAGATATTGGGTAAAATTAAGTACAGCACATATACAAAGTGATATTTTAAAGATAATATTAGGGATACCAGAGAATGATTACAACACCAAAGCAAGGTCCTTAAATAAACCAACAAAAAAACAAACAATCAAAATTCTGGAGCAAGAATTGATTGATGGAGAAAAATTGTTATACGATTTTGTTTTACCGTATGAATTGTTTGAACAAGAATTGGAATTGATACGTTTGATTGATAAAACACCGAGTCCCGCGGTGTTGGAAAAAATATGGAGAAAAATTATGGAGAATGCAGTAAATGTTGCCTATGCAACTGGATCTTTGGAGCCAATATCTACAAAAATAATAGAAGCTGGTAAAAGGTTTTATCCACATGACCAATATTTATTTTCTTTAAGTACTATAACAAGATTATTATCACTTTACATAATCTCTAATTATCATCAACAATTGCTTCTACAACATTATCAGCAACAACAATATTACCACCATCATAATCAGCAGCAACAGCAACAGCAACAACAGCAACAACAGCAACAACAACAAAGTCAAGGAACACATGAATTAGTATTTAATGATGGTTATATTACAAATTTATTTAGAGAAATTAATATTAAATACAGTGAAATATTTATGAATTATGAATGTTTATTTGAATATAGAATTGATCCATTCGACTCTGAGGAAGGATTGAAATTATTGTTGGACGAGATAGTATATTTGCTTTATAAATGGATAGATGATAAGGTGGAAAGTAAAGATATGGATATTAGGAAGATGCTTCAATTGATTTCAAAATATGAACACGCAGCTAGCAGTTATCATCGAATATTTCAACAGGATTTGTCATTCAAATTTTTAGATATTCAACAAAAACTTGAAAATATAGAAATGAAGAGTTATTTGTATACTAGTTGATTTTTGGTGTGGCTGGCTACATATTTATTGTAAATAGATTGGTTTTATAAAACTTATTAGAATTTATATAGAAGTCAGTAAAATAATAATAATAATAGTCAAAAATCTTAAATAAATAAATGAATTGATATATATATAAATTTATTTATATTTTGATTATGTTAAAAAAAAATTAAATTAAAAATTTAGAATAATCCTATTCATATATCATAAATTTTTCCCTTAATATTTTTTTAAATTAAATTTATAAATATACATTCCATGTCTATTTTAAATCTGCCTTAATATCATCACAAATGTTATTATAATAATATTATTATCATCACCATGATCATTATTAATCCAAAAATGAATAAATTATTACTTTAATCATTTTCTTGGTCAGAATCTTTAACACACAAAATACTTTTAGATAATATTTTTTCTGCCATTAAAATTCTAAATTCTCTGATTCTTTGTTCATCAAATGCCTCCTCAATAATAGTCTCATCATCTATACCATCTGATAATAATTTAGCAAACATACAAACAAAAACACCACATGAATGATCATCTATCTGTGGTCCGTTGTTTCTCGTATTAATAAATTGATTTTTAAATGACCATCGATCTTTTATACAATCACCATTATTCTTGTTATTGTCATTATTATCATCGTTGCTATTATCATCATTACTACTATTACTGTTGCTATTATTATTATTATTATTTTTATTATTAAATCGATGTTGAAATTCATCTTTTAAATATTGTTTAAGATTATGACCAACTGTTTTAATATGTCTGTTACCCAAAGAATCCCACAATTCAATTCTTCTTTCTCTGATTTTAATAACAGCAAGAATCCAATGTGAATCATTAACGTTTATTGGGACATATATAAATTGTTTACTAAAAATATCAATTTTTTTTGTCCATCTAATAACATTAGAATACGAATACACATTATCTTTCATCAACATTACATAAAAATATGTTGAAAATGCATGAATATTGCTTTCATATTCAGAATTGAGTATGGTGAAATATGCATTAATATGATCACACGATAACCATTCACATTTGTTAACAAGATCTTTCAATTGTTGTTGCGTTAAAGATTGTGAACCTATAAAAAGTTCTTCGGCATTTTCTTTCCTAAGGTAGGCCTGTAAACTTTTGCTTTTACCTAATTTACCATTTCTTTCCGGTGATTGGAAATATGGCGATTGCGATGATGTTTGTCTTCGATCTGCTCTTTGTAAACGTCGTAGTTTTGGCGGTGGTTCTAGTAAATAATCATCTAGTCCGGATAGAAGAGCTTCCCTTTCCTGCTGGTGTTCATACACCTCTTCGTCCTCATTTTGTTGTTTATCAAATTTTAATCGTTTTTCTGGTCTGTGGAGCGATGATGGCGGTGATGATGGCGATGGTGATAATATTATTGGTTTATTGTTACTGATACGTTTCCTTGTTAATCTTGAAGAAACTATTTTATTTATAAGTAGCATAGAATTACAATTATAATTATGTTAAAAAGTAAATTAATTTATACAAATTATAACTTTATCTTTATTTTTGTCATGTACTTGTATTTTTTGGTGGGCAAGATCTTTGACTAAAAATGAAATTAAGAATGTAAGTTTCTTTGCCATGTTAAAATTGTTATATATATGTATGTATGTATGTATGTATTATATTATTTTTCAATATTTACCTCTTTCTCTCTTCGAATTCATTTTCATTGAAATCAAATACATCTACAGAACAAACAACTTCTTCAACATTATTATCAACATTTATAACCGCAAGATTAGTTGACGTCGAGTCCATTTTTGTAAAATGTTTGTAATCTATTGAATTATTATTATTAAATTGTTTCTTTGTTAGTCAACGCGTCCGTAAAATATTTAATTAGTTACACGAATTAATATCATTATATTTTTTTTTTGTTTTTTTTACAATTGGAAAATTTCCAAAGAACTTTACTGATATGTTACACCTTTTGCCTGCGCCACACTCCCGCATATTGAAACAGCAATGACGTAATAATAACAAACTGACAATTTATGTTCCATAATGAATTATTACTATTACTCTGTCTATAATAATAATGGGATTCCCTTATAATGGACATTTTTTCGTAATTATAAATAGTAAGTCAAATAATCCGTTAGTTATAGAGAGTGCGAGCTGTACAATTTCTAATACTAAGACATTGAAATTTTACAACTCCTAATAAGTGGTAGATCTGTGGATCTTGTTTTCACCAACATGTAAAGAAGGCAGCGAGCAACATAATTATTATACAAAAAAAATAATATAGTTTTTTTGCTTCCTTGTACCTTTACTTCAAATTAATTGTTACGCAGATCAATTCTCAATAATCACAAAGAAATCGATTGATTGTTCATTAAAGAGAAATTTAATTATAAAAAAATTGAATCGGGGACAAAAAGGGGACAAAAAGGAAATTCGTTATTATTATTATTATAGAGAAATTTTACTTAGTGTTCGTTATAATAATAAATATATTTAGTATCTGCAAATTTTGGGAAATGACAAAATATCGAAATAATATTGTTAATATATATAGGACACCTAATAGAAAAACTGAAATTAATTACATTATTGATGATGATGATATAGATTTTTAATAAAATACTATATGTTCTAATAATGAATGAAATGATACCTTTCAGTATTTTACATACTTTATATGCGAAATCAATAACGTACCTTTTCAGTATGTTACAATTTTGAGATGATGAAATTAATTCAGAAGCAAAGATTATAGGTAGAAAAAAGTATTTAATTGAAAGAAAATATGATATGAAGGGGAATCAGAATATTATCAATAGAGAACTTGTAGAATAAATTGTTTTGATTTCAATAATGATTTAGATTCCACTATTCCAATCTTGCACTAAATTAGAAAATTTCAATAATGTTTAAATTCATCATTTATGACAGGGTTAATAAGATGAAAGCGAATTGTGTTACTTTAAGCTTGTCTTTTCCCATAATCAATCCAACCAATTTTAATAATTATTATGTCTCATAAAATTGGGTGTCATATATATATCTTGGTCACAATTTTTGTTCATTGGCAAAATACCTTTATGCACTTTTCAATAAAAATTATATTTATCATAGATAATACCGGAAAAGAATGTGCTTGGGATCAAGATTTAATCCTAAGATAATCATTTATATACATATTTATAGTACTAATTAAGTAAATAAAAAATGTTTTTGGATAATGCAAAAAAAAAATTTAAATAATAAAAATAAAATTTTTAAAAATATACATTTAATGATAAAAAAATGTCTGTCGTTAAGAAGTTTCAATGACATCCAACATAACCATACAACCTAGAATTAACAAAACTTCAAGTGCTCTATGTTCTTTAACATCTAACCAAGCTTCTTTAAAAATAGTTAATTCTCCAATAGCATTTCTATCATTACCATCATTAGAATTTGATGAGTTTCTTAATAAAGTTGCAATTTTTATTTTATTTTTTTTAGGAGATGGAGAAATTACACTACTACTAAATGATAAAAATTTTGGAGTAGTAGTATTTGGAGACATAGATATATCATATTCTACTAATTCGCATACTAAATCACAATCCTTTGCTCCCAATTGAGCTGGTTTCCATCTATAATCCTTTCCTTCAAAATCAAAATGCCAAGTATTACTAAACGCACCTGTTCTTCTTAATTCTGCTTCTAGAAAAAATGCTTTGCTTCTTATGGTTATTATTGGTTCTCCTACTAATGATATACGTTTTGCTTCACCTATTATTAATTCATTATATACTTGTTTCAATACACAATGATATAGTGGTGAATTACTGATACTTTTTGAATATATTGTATAAAAAATAGGTTCATTATCTTCTACTTTCCCATCTTCGTTTTTGGTTTTTATTATTTCCTCATTATCATTATCATTATCATTATTGTCTATTTTATCGTTATTATCATTGTTAATACTATCATCGTGGTTGTTGTTGTTGTCATTTTCTTCATCAATTTCTTTGATACTATCATGTATTATCATGTTATCTTTTGGTATAGAAAATGGATATAAAACTTCAACCTCACCAGAGAAAGGTGAAGCACGAGCTAAATGATATGTTAACGAATCTGTGAATACATTTTTGTCAAAGATATTTAAATTATTTTGACTGTTACGATTACTAGTATCAGCGCAATTTAACCTAGAATAAGTAGTAGAAGCTTGGAATGTTGGGTTAATTGTAGTAGTTGTGGCTGTAGAAGGAGTTGTAGAAATGGTTGCCGTTGTTCCTGCTATTTTAAATCATTATTATGTGTTCGCCTAATAATTCATTTATTTAATGATAATTATTTATATTTACCTTTAGTATTTATGTCATCCTCAGTGCTAAAACTTGTCGACTCTTCTTCAGTAAACGATTTGTGAGAGGGTACCTGCCCTTGATTGACTTGATTTTTAACAGTTTTTGAAAATAATTTATTCATTTTAGAAGAAACGAAAATTAAGTTGGTGAAACGGAATCAGCGCACAAAATTTTCTTGTGGAAATTTTTTCTAATGATCATAAAATTAAAATATTTACCGGAAAAATTAAATGAAAATCATAATCAGGTAATTCGGACATTTTCCGAACAGGCAAAACCTTTATCCACGCACAATGACAAACGGATAAAGGGTTTTCCTGTTCGGAAAACACCTTTTATGCGCTGAATGGAACTATCCATTTCAGGATTGTGTAATTGTCAATACATAATGAATGAAACGGGTGTTACAAAAAAAAAGGAGTTTTACAAAAACAAAAAAGGCGAAACACTTTTGCCGAAACAAATTTTTTACTAAAATATAATTTTTCGGAAGCATGAAATAAAAAGATTTTTACCTTTAATTCGTACACGTAGATCTGTACAGATTTAATAATTATAATTAGCTCCTATCCTAAAGTTGGAGAGGGTGGTTGCGATCATTGTTGTCATTCTGGTTATTTTTAATTAATTATTAATTAACGAAAGAACACTATCAGAATAATAAATGTTTGGTAATTAGGTATCATGATTATCATCAATTTGTTAACATGGATATTGTAAAGATGGGGTAAAGTAATAGAAACAAATGAAATTATTGTGCGAGTTTATTACGAAAGTATTAATGGCAATTTACGATGGGTAATTTAATAAGAGTTGTTCGTTTATTTGTTTATAATCAAAGGTTCTTTATTTTATTCTTGGAAACCTAAACTACAAATTGATATAACGATTATTACATTAGGATAAATGACTTTGATTTGGAAAATGCTACCCATAAAAGGAAACTAATAGATTATATATATAAGCAAAATTTTAAACCACACGCAAACCTTACTTCCCTTCAATAGTATTACTAATGTATTCAATAATAACTTGATTGGACCTTGGAATGTGTAATGGTGCAATTGGTGTGTGTGTAGCCTTAGATTTCATGCAATTGTTCTGGTGATTTTATTTTATTTTATTGCTATTAAATCCTTTCCTTGTACATGAATGTCTCTATATACTACATGCCCATTACAATGTTTTATGATAATTGTTCTGAGAGTATGGTTGCTTGCCAAAACTCCTCCGGAAATCAATCGGCAGAGCTTCGACATGTTACACACTAATTGGTTATTAGAGTTTCAGCAGAGTTTCGGTAGTCATTAAGAGGTTTCGGCAAGCAACCTTATCTGAGACCAGGCTTGGTTGCTCCCATATAGGCATTGATCTTTAATTAGGATTAGTGCTCATGTGACATTTGCTTCATTTTACCCTTCCCACTAAAGTACAAAGTTGGTGATTTGAAATTCTAGAACTCAGGAGATCGTAACCTGAGTTGCTATTTTGTTAATGGCACACCTACTCACAAGCAAAAGCTTGGATCTGGAGAAGTTGAGTATTTGAACAAAATCCCAAGCCACACATCATTTAAATAGTAAATAAAGTTAATTGAATGAAATTTATCAAAGGAACAGAGAATGATTAATTTATATGGAACATACTATACCAAAATCTAAACTATTTATTTTACAATTCCAGAAATCATATGGCCAACATCAGGAAAATAAACCTTACGTAAACCTACGTAAGGTTCATAATTGGCCAGCATTGTGTCAAGATTTTGGTAATTCTGTTAACAATTCCGTATAATGCTGGCCAATTATGAACCTTACGTAAGTTTACGTAAGGTTTATTTTCCTGATGAAGTAGCCAAATACGGAAGTTATCCAACAAACTCTTTGAAAAAGAAAGAGCTCAAACGCAGTTTCAGAGTCCCAATTCCACTCGGGATCGCAACCTCATGAGCTACAACAAGTTGCAGATCCTCAACCATTCGGAATTCTGCAGCCTTCAGAGCTGCATTTTCTTGGTCACAGATCCATCATTACCCTAGAGGTAAAGCAACCTTTTGGTTTTCCTGGTAATAGCAGCCCAGGTGCTGCGAGTGAAGATTAGGATTCAAAAAAAATCCTCGACAATGATAAATTCCAGGGCCAAACTCCCCCGAATTCAGTTGCACCGTTGTATCGTCGGAAGTGTCTAGATCAGCTTAGCCTTATGTACACGAGGAAGGTGATAATGACTATATTGTTTTAGATAAAATGGTGTATTTCAACATTTACCAATTTCCGACAATCAAATGTCACATATTGAATTGTTTTCCAAATCGCCTAGGTGCCGTTTTTCCAACAGTCATGCTACTTTTCTTTGTCTTTGACATTTTTTTGTAATTGTTTAATATTGTACTTGAGATTAATAATGATTACAAAAAGCAAATACACCGTCATTTATTATTGTCTTGATTATACTTGTCGTCGGAATTCCCAAACAGAAATAATACGGTTACGGCATGTGCCGTATTATTTGCCGTAAATAACG